TATTTGTGATTAAGGAGCATGAGACAGAGCTGGCTCAGCTGCCACTTTGTGGCATCAGACATCAGACTTTTCTCTTGCTCCTTCCTTTAAGATGCTGTGTGCTACCTCTGGCTTTTTGTTTGGTGTTACAGCTTGTAGTTTGAGCAACTGTGTTTTGGGGTGAGAGGAGAAGGGGTTAATGCGAGAGAACATCCAGTGTTTGTTCTCTCCAATACAAGCACTGATAAGTGGATGGGAGGAAAAACAGCCATGACCTTACTGTTATGCTTCATGTGTCTGTGCATATATGAGTGCAGGATTCATGGGATTGTTTGTTTGGAGCGCTCTCTTCTTCTCTGGTCAAGCTGACCAGCTGCATTCCTCAGAACATCTCTGATGCCTGGAGAAGAGACTCCTTCCAAGCAGATCCCTGGAAGATGCTTCTGCAGAACACCATGCTGATCTCATTGGTGCCTGTGTACTCAGTTATATGCCAGTCACAGCCTTGCTCAGGAAGTGAGCAATGAAGGAGGAGTCTTGGTATCAGCATTAAGGTACTAATTCAGTGTAGTGCATAGTGTGAGTGTAAAGCTAGGGAGCTCTTCCAGGTAATAATGTTCTTTTGCAGTTGGTAATTTTTTTCAGGATGTGTTTCCCTTGCAGCTTGGTAAGGCCAGAGATCTTCATCCCTTTTCAAGTGCATGAAGTTAGCTGGGGCACAGATTTTCTGCAGCAGAAACTCATTGCAAGAATTGTTTCCACATGGTTTGTGAGAAATCTATGCCAGAGCTCATGCTGGCTGCAGTTCTTCAGTCTCTTAGCACAGGTGAATGGGATGTCCCCAGATAATGGCCTGCCTGTGTGAGAAGGAGCTGATCCTCTGCTTTGATGGACATCAGAAAACCACTTACAAAGATCTAATGGTCTGCTCAGACACTTCTGGAGAAAAGGATCTGAAAGCTGATCAGAGCTTCTGCAGTTGTTTTCTTTAACCTTTTTCTTGAACAGTTTTTGTAGTGTCTTAATGCCTAAACCAACATTGGTGACCAAGGTCTATTTATCTGGATTGGATCTTTCACCCATCTCAAGCCTCAGCTTCCCTTTGCGGGGGTGAGGAGACTTCCTAGTACAGCAGCCAGTGCTGTCTGAAGCTGGTGGCTGAGGAGGGCTGGGAAGATCTGGGTGGCTGAGGGCTGGACCCTCCCTGAGCCTGCTTGGCAGGAAAGGAAGGAGGGGAGCAGGAAGCAAGCAAGATCCTCGGGAGGGACCTAATTGTCCATGCTAATCTCTGGGGTTTGGGTTTCTTGCTTTGCTACTTCTTCCTAGCAGACCTCGCCCCCTTCTCTGCTAAGCGTTGCTTTGAAGAAGCTACTAACTGTCTGAGGAACCTGTGCAGGCACTATCTGGGCCTCTCTGGGGAAGGCAGGTGATACAGATTTGAGCTGAGAAGTTGCCTGGGGATGGAGAAGAGATTCAGGTAACACTGGTCTCTTTGCAGGAGAAGCTGGACTCTGTAAATTGGGACCTTTTCCCTACCTGTGCTGTTCCCGTGTTTTTGCTGTTTCTGCATTGCTGTTTGTGAGGATTGTTCCCATAGCTGGGAAGCAGTGAGTGTGGTGTGCTTAGCTGCTTATGTTGAGGCAGAGGGAGCCGTGGGTAGGTTCAGACTTCCTGTGAAGGTGCTTGGGTTTGGTACTGGGGAGATGTGGGCTCTTAAATTGAGGAGCCTGCTTGGTGCTGTCCCAGATATCTGATATATAGTAGCAGTGGGCAAATAGCTCCTGTAGAGGGGATTTTGTGTGTAACGCAGCAGCTTTTCTCTGTAAATGCCCCAGTTAAACGTACTGTCTCCTCTTCTGTTCAAAAATATCATCAAGCAAAAATTGTGATTCCATATCCCACACCCCCATCCCCCTCTCACCCACACCTAAAATAGGAAGGACTGTCCTCAATTTAGCTGTTTCCTGGGCTATTAGCACTATAGCTCTGGATGTTGGTGCTCACAGCCAGCACCCCTGTAACACATCCACATTCGTATGATGGTCTTAAAAGGGATGCTTGGTGCCTCCCAAACATCCTGCTGCTACAGTGTGCATCCTTGACCTCTTCCTGCTCTCTCCTTTCCTCCACCCCTTGCACTGATAACAGGGGGATGCATGGAACTTGGTTCCCACTGAGCTGTGGGCTGCATGGATAATACACAGAGCTGAAAAGATTGTTAATGTGCTTGAGAAATGCCTGCCTCTGCAGAGATTGCCACTGCATGTCATCATTATGATCCTTCTGTTCAGATATCAGCTCTAAAGTTTCCTGGCTTTTGGGCCCAGGGTGAAAAACAGAAGACCATACACACGAGAAGGGGAAGGAAATGTGAGACCACAGGGCCCAAATTTCTTGGGGCTCTCTCACTCACACTGCAACATTGGCACTATCTTGCCCTTTCCTTTTGGTTGCCTGAGGATGATGATGTGTGAAGCCGACACTGTGGGGCTGGGTGTAGCAGGGAGGTGTGGAGCAGATGGGGGTGAAGCTGCTGCTCTGTATGGGGAGCATAGCCAGCTGGTACAGAGCTGCTCTGGAGCATCATCCCCTGCAGCATCTGGCCCACGATAGGGTACCTGGCTTTGGGTGCCTGGAAGTGAGGATGGTGGGAAACTGTTTGTGTGTGTAGTGGGAGATATCCTTGGGGCTGGTTTGCTTTCAATATTGAGGCTTTGTGTAAGCGTTGTCTCTACGATGGGGACTTCTGTGTTTGATTTTTAACCTTTAGAGTATTGAGGAGGCCTGAAACATGTTAAATGGGCCCATTGGAACACAACCCTAACACTTCTTTGCTGACCATGCATGCTTCTACCTCCTCCCTGTGGCTTTCTTGAGAGAAGAGCTGCGCAATTTAGGCTGCTTTTGGGAACACCAGGTGCTGTCCTTAATTAGCAAGCTAATCTCTAATCTAGTCACTCTTGCTTGTAGAGTAGGAGGCATCCAGGAGGAACATTGTGCCTCAGTCCCTCACTAGCCCTGTTTCATATACATCTTTTGTGTTTCAGAAGAGGATGTCCTGCAGGCTGCTTGCACCGTGCTCTTTCTCTGCAGAGGAAGAAGTTGCCTGCTCACCCAACTCTCTGCATCTCTGCTTAAATTCCATTATGCTATGATTATAGGTATGATGAGTTGGACAGGCTAAGCCTCCCTAGACAAGAGGGCTGATGCTTAGAGGATGGACAAATGCCATTCCTCAGTGGCAGTCATGGTGGCAGCAGACTTCCTGAGGGTGAATGTGAGTTGTGTCTGCCCCTGGCCAGCACCATCGAGGAGTTCCCACTGCTTTTCTACAGCACATTTAGCAGCACATCTGCTCTAAAATTATAATGGCTCCTCTCTAGAGAAGCCAAGTGAGCCTTGCAGTGCATCTCTGAGGCTCAGCAGGGCTTTGGGGGATTTGGCTGTGAACTGAGCGTAGAGGCCTCGAGGGAATGCCAGCTTTGCATTGTGGCAGCGGTGTGACCAGTAGGAAGCATCCCTGAGGGGTTATGTGCAGCTTCTGCCTGACGTGGTGGTTGTGGCTGCTGGAAGGGGCTGCCCTGGGCCTCTGTGGGTGGCTGGCCAGGTTGGGACATTACATGGAGAGTTGGTTGGGCAGGCTGGAGCAAGAACAATGGTTGCCAAGGCCTGCAGCCCTTGGCTGGCACAGAGAAATTTCCCTTCTCAGCCATTGTTTTTTACTATTATTTTTTTTCATCTGTTAATTTTGTTTTTGGTGGTACTTAGTACAGCCAGCTGATCCAAAAAAGTGGGGTATGTATTAACGAGTGCTTCCACCTTGTTCCTCTGCAAAGACTTTGGCTGGAAGTTGCCCAAGCAGGAAAATAAAGAAACTGCCTTTTATTTGGGACCTGTTAAATCAAGTACAGTGTGTTCCTGCTCATTGTTGTTGGGAGCCTGACCCTCATCGGTAACCATCACAGAAATGCAAGGTGTTCAGATGTGTCTGGTGATGTGCTGGTGGAGGGCTGCAGTAGAACACGCAGTCTGCAAAGAATTGAGACTGGTGCTTGGAGGCTTTTCTGGACACACTGGCTTTTCCCTGAGATCATGTCTTCAGTGTGGCTGCAAACTATGAGCATGCATAATGGCAGAGGGAGTTCTGAGCGTTTTCTCACTGTGTCAGCTGTAGAGAAGCACCCTTCCTGAGGATGCCTTGTACACAGCGTGCTGTCAAAGGCAGAGAAATAGCAGCTTTTTAGTAGAGGTGTTTTTTTGCTGTTTCTGCATTGGTTGAGTGCTGTCTGAAAAGCATTGCCCTGACTAAGGGGTAGTCCATGCTGCAACTTTTGTGACTTTCCAACTGAATGTGTGTTTTGGGCAGCCGATAAGCTGGAGCCAGGGGCCTGCCCCCGTCCTAGAAGGACCTTGGCTTGCTGGCAGCCTCCCTTCCCCCTATTCTTCCAAGTTCCTAGAAGAAAATGTAGCATATTACTCTCTAAAATACACTGTTTCCATAGCATCTTAGGAAGCGTTTATCAACAGGGTTTTTCCACTCATAGTCTCCTGTATATTCCATTCTCCAAAGAATGGAACCATCAGAAAAAGCTCATTTGGTTTTTGGCTTGGCTTCCCCTGCTCTCCCCTGGCTGGACGCTGCATTAGATGCTCTGCACAGGTCTTCATTTGGTGACCCTGCTCGGGGAGCGTGGAGGTGTCAGCAGCTAGCTCATGGATTGGGACTTTGTACATTTTGCAGTCATTTTGTTCTTCACTGCTGTCTGTTAGAAGCCAGTGTAGAAGGTTATTAATGAGAGCAATACATTCAAGTATTCAAGCACTAACTCCTTCAAAATCTTTCTTGCAACAAGTGGTTGAATTGGAGTGGGTTCCCAGCTAGATTGATCTTTAACTTGGGATACTAGGAAAACACTTGCTCTGTTTAGCTAAAGCAAACAAATCAAGAGGGGAGGAACCTTTTAAATATGATTTGCACTCCAGCTGCAAAGAATACTGATTTTTTTTTTCTTCTTTTGCAGATATATTTCCAGCTGATGGCCAGTCTGGTATGTATTAATTAAAAATGGAGTTCTTCACACCTCGCTTCTCCATGTCTTTCCTGCACTTCTCTTTTTGCAGAGTCAGCACTAAACAAATTTAGAAGACTGGTGCAGAAATGTGCAAGACACTTTAAAAAAAAAAAAAAAAAAAAAAAGACCCTTGGAACTTACAGGGTTTAATTCTGTGTAACTGATGTCTCAAGATGCAAACCTAGCTTAGAATTTTGTTGCTAGTATTTATGTTAGTTATCAACATCTTGATGTGTCCCGACACCTGAAGGTGCGTACCTGAATTTGCAATACTTTAAAAAGTCCAAACCTCCCCTTTGGGTGGTTTAGTATGTGTGTTGTTACTGTGTATCTCTGTTAAGGACTATGGTATGGTTTGCACCTGTTTGCTGTCAATGCGAGACCAGTGTTAACTTCTTGGACTGCGCAGAGCCTCCTGAGGATGGACCCTGTATAAAAGGATTGGGCTTATCAGTTGAAAGGGGAGGCTGTGCTGAGTGGGAGGCCTGACTCCAGTAGCTTTTTAAAGCAGGCATCAGTCACTTTAATTCTTGCTTTTCCCAGACTGTCATGGGCTCTTCATCCAGGTTGACACTGTTGGAGAGCTCATGTTGAAGGAGAGGCTTATGTTTCACCCAGTGATACCAAGAGTGCTCAGGAATCCTGTTATCCCAGAGCTAGAGTTCCTTTTGGAGACCTGTAGCGAAGGCACTGGCAATATGGAGCTGTACTTGATGTGGCCTAGGGCAGCCTTGGTCACGTCACTGTGTCCACCTCCTGTCTCCTTTTTTTTTGCCTTTGCAATAGGATTACGTTTCCCCAGTTTACAACAATGATGTGAGGATAAATTGCTGCTGATTGTGAAGCATTGCATGATCGAGATTTGGAAGCATGAAAATCAGCTCAATTATCTTAAAGCTGGTTTCAGTAAAAAGTAAATCACTATTTTTTAAGAGATATGGTGTGATATTGGAGACAGCAATTTGGCTTCGTGAATTGAGCAGTTGGAAGTTGTGTGTATATTTGTTTCCGAAGCTCTAGCCAGCTAACATGATATACAGCCAGATATTCCCCTAGTGCTGCAGAAGTTGCTTCTCTAGGTTTTACAAAAGTAACCCAACCATTTGTAAGCCTTTCACACTTTTTTATTACTTTCATAACATGCATGAAAGTGAAGTATTAAGGCTGCTTTTGGAGGAGCAGAGGTGTATTCCTGTGCATTGAGTACAGTCTGTCTGAAGCCAGGATGGAGTAATGACTGCACAGGAAAAAATTCTGTGACTTAAAGGGATTTTCTTCCCTTTTCTTGTAAGAAGCTTCTCTGCCCCACTGAAGGTCTGTCTTCATTGGATGTTGTGTTTTGTCTGCCTGTGCTGCTGACGCAGAGATGTCCTCTGGTTGGCACCACTCCATTCCCTGTTGTGGACCTTCACAGCTGTCTCTGGGGTGGGGCATAAGTGTGCATCTGCAACAGATGATAGCGTGTGCTTCAGTAAGAGCGTGTTACGTGTCAGGGGTGTTGCAGAAAACATTGCCCACAGGGCTGGGGGATTTTTTGCAGTTCTGTATTTTTAAGTATATAAATTAAAGCTTAAACGGGGTTCCTCTCAATGATAGCAGCCTCTTGACACTGCACGTCGTGTCTTCTCATGCCTTCACCAGAAAAGCCTTCAAATCGTGCTTTTTCTTCCTTATACACCAAAGCTCACTCAGAAGGCCTGATACCTCCTGCACAAAGCACAGTGTGGATGTGGCAGGCAAGGGCAGAGAAGCACTACCAGCGGGGTGCTTCTAGCATCACAGCAGCTCTGCACTTCTGAAGCTGTTGGTTTTGACTTCCTCACCTCCTTTTCCTTGCCAACGAGTTAATTTGCTACACTCTATTGTTGCAAATCACCCAGACTCCAATAATCTATGTCAGTGCCTATTCTATAAGGTTAATCTTACAAGGCCAGATGGGTCTTTATAGCTAGTTTCCCTTCTAGATGAAAAGTCTGTTGTCCTTTTGCCCAAGGAAGCATTTGGCACAGTGACTGAGAATGCTGAGTTGTGGCAACAGAGCTGGGACTTGGTCAGGTGAGGAGCCTGAGCCAAAGCACCAGCCATTTTGTAGGCACAGCTGCTATGGCATGCCCCAGAGCATGCACCTGCTTGTTTGTATGGGGTGCTGGAGGCGTTCTGCCCTCAGCAGGGTGTCATGTGCTGGTGCCATGAAGGTGGAAGGGAGGCAGTGCTTGCATCCTCCTTAGTTAACAGCCTTTGGAAATAATGCTGCTCTGTCCAGAAGACTGCTGATTTACCCATGTCTGGTGCAGTGGGTCTCACTTTGGGCGACTGGACTTCAGATGTAGGCTGCTTTTCAGAAGAAGCCACTTCAAACCTTGTGATCTGGATTCAGGAGAAAACCTGAGAGGTCTCAACATCCTTGGAAAATGTGTGCTGGGCTCATTTGTATGTTGGTAGAGCAGAAGGAAAGGCTTTTTCCTTCTCCCCACTCCTGCTGTTGGATGAGGACAGTGGGGATGTCACCACTGGGACCTCTCTGGATATGTCAGCTGTGAATCCTCTGCAAGGCTGCCCATCCTGTCTGCCTCTCAGGACTTACTGCCACAGGGCTTGCTGAAGTTTGTTATCTGCTGCTTGAAGTACTTTGCTTTCAGTGGATCTCCTACCAGTTTCATGCAGCGCTCCTGATTTCAGTTTGTCAGGCAGTGCCCTCCCAATATCATGCACCACTGTCAGCCCATCTCTCTTGGTAGTGGAGAACCCCAGCCTTTTTGGTCAGACCTCTGAGAGGGCTGCCTCTGGTCTGACTGATTTTTTTCTCCATATGTCTCTAACTGCTGTGTTCTTGTTAGGATGCAGAGACCAGACCTGACTGCAGGCCTCAGTTGTGGATGCACCAGTTTTTCGTACAGCAGCAGATGATGCTCTTTGTCTTGGTCACACTATTCCTGATGATTTTTTTTTTTGTATTCTTCATCCTGAGCTGATCATTGGAAAACTGTCAGCAGTGACTGGGATACCTCTTTTGAGTTACAAATGCAGCTTTGAATTGTACACTTGAAGCTTTTTCATAAAGAGATGTGGGTGATGATCACACTGTACAGAAGCAGTTTCCAGTTTTTAGACTTTTATAAAGAAAAGGAAAGGAGGTGTGTCTTTAAATTAGGAGAGATGGTGCTGTGTTGCACTTCCTTCTGTGTGTGGCTTCTCTCATCTTCCTTTGGGAAGGCTCACTCTTAGGGTCTTTTTAATGCTTCTGTGTTGCGTATCAAGAAAGGGGAAGCAACCACTTGCCTGGCTGGGTAAGCATGCTTGGGATAGCGGGATCTGCATGTTTGTGTGCTCTGGAAGGAAGTTGGCAGTTTGTGTTATTTCACAATTAAGAAAAATCTTGAATTTTGCTGCCACAAACTTGAGATATGGGGCTTGTGAGGATGTTTTTTCTTGTGCTAGGAGAAATACCCTGATATCAGGAATCAGCAGGGAAGAACTGGCTGATGTTATTTGAATTCCCTCGCAATTCCTTTCTAGAAATCGAGTCTCTGGTTCTCTTCTTTGAGATGACGGCTTCTCCAGAGGTGTGTGTGCTTGTGTTGAGTTTGCACCTTTTCCTTGTGTGACCTCTCGCACCCTGTGCTGGTGCCTGTTGTGGGAAGTGTGCATTGCCCTCCTGGCAAGTGGGAGGCACGGAGCTGAAGGGGCTCGCAGCAGTGTTTGGCTCTCAATTCCTGTCTGTTCATTGTTAAATATTTACAGTGAGATGTACCAGATGCTTCTGTAGAAGGGTTTTTGTCAGCTTCTAAGTCCCCAGTTGCAGCTGCAGAAGAGGCTGACAGCCATTAAAGGGATTGCATCTGTGCGGAGCCTTGGGCTTGGCTGCGACACAGTGACCTCTCCCTACTGTGCTGCAGGCTCCACTGGTTGTGCTGTCTCATCAGCTGCAGCGGGATGCGGGCAGAGAAAACCCCTCTGCCAGTGACAAGAGATTAATGATGTCTAGTCCTCAGGCTGTTTCTTTTGAAGCTCTTCCACTGAGGTGGGAGGGGGGAGCATATGATGCTCATGCAGGACTGGGCTTTTGTCACCACACACCTTTTTTCTGGGGCCCTCTCTGTGTGGTGACAACACGTGCATGACCTCTGCACAGCTGCTTCTGCTCCCTTTCTGTTCTCAGTACAGTCACGTCTGCTTCCTTGGCTGAGCTACACTACAGGAAGAGGAGCGGGGCTGATACCAGCCCCTGGTCCTGCCATCACCAGGTCTGAGCATCACCTCCTTCCTGTTATCCAGGGCTGAATCCAGCAGTGGAGCCCCACTCTTCGCTGCCAGCCCTGGGTGAGAGACCAGCAACTGGTGCCTTTCTGCCAAGTGCCACCCCTGTGCTAGTCACACCAGTGAAGTTCCCAGCATACCTCCTGCTTCTAAGATAAGGTCCAGGGCCTTGGGCTGGGCCCTGTTTGTTGCTCTTGGTGCTTATCAGGTTTTGTTGCTGACAAGGTGACCTGCAACACCTAGGATCAGAAGGGAAGGAAGGTCTCCCCAGCCTGTGCCGTGCTCTAGGACATCCCATGGGATGACCAGTGCATGTGCACACACGCGTGTGCACGCACACCATGCACCACTTGTGTGCCGAGTGTCCTAGTCTCAACCCTGTAGCTTGGCTCAATGCTGAGCTTCCTGTGCACATCAGAGATCTGCTCCTCAGAGGGGCCGGGCACAGGAAGGGGCGGTCCCACTAGGTCATCGTTTTTCAAACTAAATATAGTTGCCTGTGCTTTCATAAGGCTGGGATTTTTGCATCACGTGACTGTCTTATCCCTCCTGGACGACAGTCAGTCAGTGTAGGGGATCGTGTGTCTGAATGGGTAATAATTAACTGTTAACTGGCTTTTCATTAGAGCCAGGCAGAACAGGCAGAGCGGTGCTGCAGAGGTAAGCAGGAGTGAAGGAAACTGCTGCAGGTCTGTCCTGGAGGGTGAAGGCCAGTCCTG